TACCTTTAAATGCTTGTTACATGGTTATAGTGGATGCTACCTTGTAGAGAATTGAAGAAAAGTAGATTTTTTTTTTCCTGGTACTGAGCCTTAAACCCAGGCCTCTTGTGTGCTACACAGGTGCCCTATCCCTGAGTTATAAGCCCAGCTCCCTGTTTGTTTTTATTATAGGCAGGCCTCACAGGTTGCCCATGCTGGCCTGAAACTCATTCTGGGTGTAGCCCAGGCAAGGTCTTAAATTTGTGTTATCCTGCCTCAGCCACCCGAGTAGCTGGGATTGCATGTCTGAACCACCAGGCCAGGCTTGGGAAAAATACTTTATTATAGCCCTTTGAGACAGAGACAGTGTTTAACCATGAGCCAAAAAGTTAACAGCTTCCAGTTCAAACTCTGCTCTACCACCTTGTAGAGAGCATTTTTGCAAACATGTTTGTAAATAAGACTTTATTTTACAAAATCATGTGTGTTGCTTATTAAACCTCTTTATACCTGTGTTTTGGTAAGTTGAAAAATAAAATGTCCTGACCTGGCTAGAGAACATCCTGCAGTTTTTGAAGTTTTAATTTTTTCAAGTGTACCAGTAGGTATGGCTTGCATGCTTCCTGAGCAGCTGTTGGTAATGACTGGGGGAAGGGGCAGTGTCTGCCTTCAGGAGTGTGACACTGGTAATTCATCCACAGCCATCTCATGCACATTCTGAGACTCAGTGGGTCATTAAAAACATGTCATAAGAGTAAGAAGGGGATGTGCTGGGAAGCAGAAGGATTCCAGAGGGAATGAGATGGGGATAGAGGAGGGGGTGGGGAGTGGATGTAGTCAGAATACCTCATATACATGTACAAAATTGTCAGAGAATAAATGCAAGTTTATTTTTGTAAAACCAAAACCTTAATACATTTTCAAAACCTACATGTGATATCAGAGAAGGTAGATATATATTTCTGGAGTTCAGTCAGCAGTAGCAAAACAATATTAATTTAACAAATTCAAAACCGGCTAACCTTTTCATTATCAGTAGATGGAACTACAAGCTGAAGGTGTCAGGGCCATGATCACCTGGTCTCACTTAGAGCTGTATAATTTAATAGGTATCCATGACAGCTCTTAGAGCCAAGTCTTGAAACAAATTGAACTTTAAATTACTCAGAAAGGATTAAGTGAAGATGTTCCAAAATAATAAATTAAATCACATTATTATTAAATGCTATGAATAATTTCTAGTGATAGCACAGATATTTGCCATTAATAATAAAATCTGCATATTAAATTACTTAGCTATTTTCTATTATATTTTTATGATAACATAATAATACAGTAGCACATGCTGTAAATGCATATACTTCTATTGTAGATTTTGTGCTATCAAATTGTGTGCTATTTACTAGTGTTGTATGCCCAAAGCAATTTGGAGACCACCATAGTATACAGCCAAAGCAAGGCATTCCAGCTGGTTGAGCCTGACTTGTTGAAGTCCATTATATTGGGCTGGAAAATGACTCAGCAGTTACGATGGTTTGCTGTTCTTGCAGAGGCAGCACACACACTGGGTGATTCACAGACACCTGTAGCTTCAGCTCCAGAGGATCTGCCACTGTCCTGGTTCCAAGGGAGCCTCAGCACATGTGTATATACACATAAAAGTGAATTCTTTTAAAAATTAGTTTATTATAAACACCATCATCTATAAACTAAAAGTGAAAGAATATGAATATAAAGAATTACTGGATTCAAAGGGGAAAGAAAAATATTTCCTCTCTGTGCAGATTGAAATAGACCAAAGAAATAGAGATGTCTGAGACACCGTAAGCAAAAGCATCCCCGTGTCAGTGCTCCAAATGGTTTTCCGGCACAGAAAAATGAAAATGAGCTGCTTGGGCTCTTGACAATGGACAATGCTGTGACATTTCCAAGGGAGAAGCTGGAGGAATTTCAACAGGATAAGAGTTCCTTGTGGTTTGAATGACTTAAGGGGCGGGAATCAATCTTTCAATATAATGGCTACCCAGTCCTTCTGGAGAAATTTCTAGAGACCAAGAGTAGTAGCCATTTTCAGAAGTGGCTGCCCTTCTCATACGCTCATTCTGTAAACCAAATCAGACTACAGTATAAAGCCAAATAAGCAAATAACAGAAGCCAAACCTCCTTGAACATGATGCAGCAAAGCGTTACTTTGGTTTCTAACTTGTGGTAAGAACACTGGCATGTTCATGGGAAATTCAGAGCGCTGCAAGAACAAAACAGGATTTTTATGATGTTGGTGAATAGTTGGCCATTCTGTTGATTGTAGCATAAGTAAAAAGCCATGTAGATTTCAATAGATATGTTTATTTCTAAAATTCATATTCTGGTTATTCTGTAGCTATTACCTCTTCCTTTACAGTCTTGTTAGTCCTACAGTTAGATGGATTCAAAGCTCATCTCTAAGTCATGTCCTATAGCTTTTGCTTTTAAGGATCACAAGAACCATATTTCCTATTGCCTTTTATATTCAGAAATACTTACCCGGAACATTGTAACTGAATAAAATTTTATAATGGGTCAATGCTAAAATTTTTATAGTCAACTTCCTTTTCTTTGAAACGCTAGTTTATTCTTATGATGGAAGTCCTTTTTAAAGTTTTTTTGTTTTAATTTTTAATCTTTTGTAGGCATGTATAGTCTATGTGAGGGTTTGCGCTGTGAGTGCAGTTGTCTACAGAGGCCAGAAGAGGCATTAGGCTCCCCGGAGCTGGAGTTTCACACAGTTGCAAACTGCCTGACATTGGTGCAGAGTACTGAATTCAGGTCCTTTGCAAGAGCCGTGTGTGTTCTTGACAGCTGAGTCTTCTCACTGTGTCTTCTCATACGTTTCCTGTGATGTCTGTTTTCATCTGTGAACTGGCCATTGTGACCTTTTATTTTCTCATTAGTTTTCTTCTTCTCTTTCTTTGTTGCGCTATATCTATTGTCCTCTTTGTGACTCTGCTGTACTGTTACTTTATAGTATCTCCTCGATGCTGTTTATGTATATCTTCAGTCTTGTTGTAGAGATATGATTTGCTTTACCGGGGCAACAGTAATTAGAGCTTTTATTGTTAGGCAGGATATGTGACACTCACCTATAATCTCAGCATTTGGGAGGCCAACACAGGAGGTTCAAGAGTTCAACGCTTGCCTCAGCCAGATAATGAGTCCTGGCCTAGCCTGGATGACCCTGTTTCAAAACAAATAGAAACGTGGGGGGGGGGGGGGGGCTGCTTTCAATATTTGAAACTTGGCAACTTTTTTTTCCTCTTGGAGCTGGTAGTTATGCTTTGTATATTTTTGCATTAAAGTTACCAAGGCTGCATCCAAGACAATGCTGTATTCAGAAGTTCTCAGTTAATTCTTTTCTTGATCTCTCACACACAGTAAAAAGTGACAAGAGTTGTGATGAGTTGACTAGCATCGTGTGTTACTGTGGAGTCGAAGTCACTTCCCAGGCTGCTTCAGACACTTGGGGATCAAAACAAGCATCACATTTCCTCGTAAACACTAATCGAAACTACTGGAAACTTCACAGTACTGTCTTCTTTATGTTCAAAAAGATCTTTAGTGAGTCTACTGAGTACAGTTAAAACTCTTTAACCTATCTCTTCAGCATCTGGCCCCCTTTCCAACATCTGGTTTCTTTCCAGGCTTGGCTTTCACTTGTCTTGAATGTCTATTTTCCTGGCATGCTGTTTG